GTCCGTGAATGCCACAAGCAATTTCGTGTCGTACGCGTTATGCGGCTCGATAGCATCGTCGGACTCCTCACTCTCACTTTGGATCTTAAGGAATAGTTCGACAGCCAAACGTGATGTGCTGGCGAGACTCGTCAGCATACGCCTCAGCAGTTCGGGCTCCATTTCCCGCAGACAGATCGCGCTGCACAGAAACCGCTGAAAGATGGCACCAAAGGTGGACGGAAACAAAGGGATTTCTGGGATGCGAAGCGATGCATCACGGGGCGTTGGGACAGGACCCAGAATCCCCCACTCCCACGCCCTCTTCCCACAATCCACGGCGCCAGAATGGGAAGAGGTGCTCTGTAGGATAGCTGCCCATAATGCACCACTCCCAATGGTGCTGCAATTGCCGCAAATGTGGCCACGACAGTGCGCTGGCAGCTGTCAATGTGGACAGACTGCAGCGCTTTCCCTACTCAGCTGTACGAAGACAGCTTTAACTCACAGCGCTGTACAGCTGCAAGCGTAGCCAAGGCCTTACCTGCATGCTGTACAGACACCCTTAAACTGCAGCAGTGTTCAGTAAAGCTAATATTAGGTCGGCTACAGCCATAGTTGAATGTATTCTGATGCAAATAATTTCACTGTGATGGGAGGTAATGCCAGGTCATTAAAATCTGCAAAGCACTGTTTGCACAGCCATTTGGAACAATCCCTTGAGCCTGGCTCAATAGACTTTGGCTAGCAGGGCTTGTATAAGTGCTCTAGAAGTAGGTATATAGTACAGACAGCACTTTGAAATGGCCACTTGTGCTGGAGCTTGGGCTCTGAAACCTAAGGGAGGGATGGGTATCAGCGCCACAGCTGGAGCTTCAACTTCAATGTGCTGTCTATGCTGCTATTTTTAGAGTACTAGCATGAGCCCCGCTATCCCAACTGTGTCAGCCTGGCTTAGAAGGCTTGCTCCAGACTGCTGTGTAGACATACCCTAAGAGATCCTCAAATGAAAAGCACTATAGAAGCATGACTGTGTTTTGCCCTACCTGATGGGGCCACTTGTAAACTGATAGGTTGTAGCACTCAGATAAATAAAAACAGCTTCTGTAATACTCTCAATTTTCTTTTTAGCAGTATAGTGAGTTCATACACAGGATTGTCACTTCTGGAAATCTGGGTTCAACCCAGACTTGAGGTCAACTGCAAGCTGGCAGAGCCTGATCCTCTCTCAGTATTTTGAACTGTCACACAAGTATAGATATTAATAAACAATATGAAAGTTAAAGGGAATGTGGTAACCCAAACAAGACAATGATCTTTGTCTACATCATTCAATTTTATAAACACCTCTTCCCTTCAGCCTGACAAACTGTCTGGCCTAATCAGGGCCAGCGCAACCCATTAGGCGACCTAGGCGGTCGCATAGGGCACTAACATTTGGGGGGTGGCGACCGCGGCGGCCAGATCTTCAGCCGCCCCGGTCACCAGCGGTATTTCGGGGGCGGGACCTGCCGCCGCCTCTGTTGGGGGCGGCATTTCGGGGGCGGGACCTTCCGCCGCCTAGGGCGGCAAAAAAGCTGGTGGCGCTCCTGGGCCTAATTAACACAGTGGTTCAATCAATCATTATAACCCTGTATTGCAAAGGATTTAAAGAAAGAGAAAAGTGCTTTATACAGCAAGATACATATTGAAAAGGGTCAGTCATGGAAGGTTCTGAGCACAACCTGCATTGTGCTGAGCAAACACACTACTTCCACTATAGTCAGCTGGAGTTGAGGAGACTGAGCACCTCCAAGATTGAGCCCTACCTATTTTTATGCCCTAGTAGTGAGTCAGCGTCAATTAAAATTCAAGGAGGCTGCCTACTATTTCAACTTTCCACCCAGGTCAGAATGCTTACAATGATTTCACTGTACACAGCTCATTAAAATAAACAAAACATTTACAAATGAAAAACCCCATCAAACTTGGTCTTGCAAGGCTAGTGGAATGAGAGGCAAATGGAAGTGAAATTTTATGTGATTACATCCAAAAAGACAATGTTCTTTTAATGTAAAGGCTGCTAAGTCAAGCACTCAAAAGTTAGGAAATGCTAGAATTAAAATTGCCTGTGCAACCCTGATTTGGCACCTTTATGCATATGCATTGTGAGAACCTTTAATTATATGATTGCACGCTATTTTTTCCACAGGGCCCTGCGTCATTCAGTGAACCTTTGTATCCAAAACTTTTTAAAAAATAAATAAATCAGTCTGAGGCAGATATCCAGCAAGGAAAACTTTAACCTGAACCATCTTTTTATAGCAAAGTTATAAGCAACTGAAAACCGGGTCTTAGTTATAATGAACAGCACTGTAGAACCTTAAGTATAGATGTCGGTACCTGAACTGCCTATAATGAATATTCAGTGATCTTACTTAGTCCCGCTGGTACTCTGTTAAACCCTGGTTTGCAAAACATCTGCAAACTGACATGCACAAACCTCTTCTGAGTATTTGTTTCCACCACTTCCAAACACTAGCACCACAAGAGAGCCCTGTGTCCCATTTTCCTCAGCACTCCACGTACATTTGAGGAAACACCATAAGGCTGTGGACTTTTCATGGATCTGGGAATTGAAACCCTGGTTGCTCCAGGGCCTTAAGCAAAACTCTCTGGGCCCCCATTTCTTCAACTGTGTGATAGGGATAATGCAGGTTTCAGGGGGCCTATGAGGATTATTTAGTTATTGCGGAGATTAACATCTTAAAAAGTGCTAAATATTTATTTCTGGGGATGTCCCTCCAAGAAACGCTCAAATCAGTATTTTGATGGAGGTACATGTAAAAGCAAAGTGAGGGGAATGGAAACGGAGCATCTATGAATGTAACAGCTTTGTGGAAACTTCTGCTTGAATTTTAGGGTATGCTGGTTAGACATCAGACTAGTGGGGTTCCACTGACTCTTTTCTTGCCAGTATGGCTTGGTTGAGTTTTGTTTTCATTATTGTTTAAAATATCACTAACAGTTAACTCATTTTAACTGGTGTCTCCTAGTGTATGGAAACAAAACAGAATAAAGGGGGGGGGGGGGAGGAGAGACTGCTACTGTAAAAGCCAAGTGGATGCTACAAGTCACCTTCTCTTTTGAGAGAGATGAACAGCAAACTCCTTTATTAAACATATTGACATCTGGTTTCATGTTGCCAAAATATGGGTCAGCTACAGCAAAGGGATGGGGATGCCCAGAACATACAGCAGCATTGGTTTGGCAAAGCTTGAGAGGGTGTGGATCCATTGCCTAGAGACAGGTCTGAGCTGTGATGTTAACATCTGGACATTCCCTTTTTCCAAATTCATCTGGAGTTTGGAAGGCTGTTGGGGCTCTACCTCTAGCAAAAACTGAACTCACTAGCACAGCTCTTTGACTGGGTTATTTCAGTGGATTGTTTTGGAAAGAAAGCAGGTAAGTTGAAACCTATTTGAAAACCAATACAGCTCAACTGGCTGTCCTATAGCCAAGGACCTCCATTTTTGAAGTGTGGGACAAAGATGCACTGTGAAAGATGCTAAAATCATATCCTTTTAATTCTTTAATCCAACAGGCTCTGAGCAAAAATTCACCAAAGGCAAGAGGAAAAACGAGGACATATTTGCTTTAAGCTTTGGTTGGGAATAGTGAATTAGAGGAAATTCCTCAGCAGAACTGATCATACTAGAAAAATCCCATGTTCCCTCTGCAAAGCAACCACCACCAAGTGGGCAAAAACACACAAACACACACTAAAATGAAGACAAATGTACTGTTTTCAACTTGATTTCTATAAATGGAAAAAAATGTATAAAATCCATCCATACATTAACAGATACAGGAAGTTACAAGATCCAATTCACACCTAAAATAATAGCAATCAGCCCATTAAAAAAAACATGGGAAATTCCACTGCTGTAATTTTGCAGAAGTTACTACAGGGCAGGTACCAAAAGATGTTTTTCAATACGATTAAAAATTATTGGCTATCTTCCCTACTTCTAAAACAATGAGACAATTTCAACAGACACATACTGGGCAGATTGAAATGTTTCTGGCTCTTGCATCAATGTGGAATATTCAAGATGCATATAATTACAATGTTCTATTTGGACACTTTCACCTCCAGGAGAGGGCTACGGACAATGGACACTACTCCAAAGAAAGCCTCAACCCGTTCCAGAATCTGTAAAGTTGACACACTTGGGGTTTATTGTTTTATGATTTGCAGCAACCCAGGAACACCCAAAATGTGTCCCCCCTCAGGTCACGCAATTCACAAATTGTGCAAGGACTGAAGGGATGTTTAGGGGCACATGGAGAACACATGGTGGGTAAGTCCAGTTCCCAGTGGACTGACTGATGTTCACATCACATACAAACTGTATCTGACAGAAAATCTCCTCTCATACTCCCATTTGTTGGAGGTCTCAGACAGGTCAAGAATTAAATGAAGGGCCTGGAAACTGAGCTACCCTTTCATGCTTAGGGTTTAGGAATACTGGCAGGAGCCAGTCTGTGAGGAAAGCTTGCCCCATTACTGCCTGAGCGGTCCCTGTGACTAGACAGAGGACTTCAGTAACTGCCAGTCTAGGGCTGGTTCAGTTTATTTAAAAAAAAAAAAAAGTGCTGGGAATGCAGGCACCTCAAAATCCCAAAGGATAGGCTTATTGTGTTTTACAGGTGTGCATCACATACACAGACAGCAAAAGGCATCAAGCTGTGTACATCCACCCAAAACAGCACAGCATTTCTATGAACAAGTAGTATGGGTGACCCTTTCCAAATAAATCAAATCAAATTGCAGACTCCAAACTAGGTGGTCTGTGTTTAAAAAAGGCAGGAGAAAAGGATACAAAGCTAGTGTTGCAATGACAACTATTCCCCTTCAAAACAAAAGGCCACATAAAATAGTGTTACTCAATTTGGCCATCTGTAAACACAAGACTGGATATTCAGTTATTGGGAAGAAATGAAAATATTTTTACATCCAAAAAGAGTACAAGAGAGGCTGTCCCCTTCCCCAGTTACAGATAGTTTACCCAGGAGAAGGTGGTTGGGGAAAGGTTTAATCATATTTGCTCATTTCATCTAGACAGGGTCATACCTACAGAGGAGCTTTTCAATAAAAAAGAAAACACCTTGAAGTCATTTTTGCCTCTCTCCCCTTGGGATTGCTATGAGGACTAAACACTTTCCATTCTTCATCAATGGACACATCACTCTTTTTGGCACTGTGGGTAGAATTTCTTCTAATACATAATTTTGCCTTATAAAATACATGATTGTCTAGTCATGCAATTCCAATAGCATGAAAGAGCTGGAAGAGACTTCACATATCTTTGCAAACCCTACATAAGGGACCCTCCTGACACTAGTGTTACTCTGTAGGATCCTGGAGAGTTAATTCATAAATGCAATTTCTACATTAGAAGCCTTTTGGGGGTTTTTGCGAGGAGGGGGCTGATGACTCAGAGCTTTGAAATGTAGACAGATTTTTGATTTGTTGAAAAAAGAGCTTCACCAAATAACTTGACTAAAGAATAATGTATCGATTGAATCAAATAGAAGAAACAGAAACAGGTGTGTGTGTGTGGGGTTCTCATTCTTTACTCCTGCCCCTGGAGCCTTGGATAATGGTTTCATCGCTACTGCATTTTCCCTAATTGGATCTTCTTCCAGGCTTCAGAGGCTGTGAAAATGCATGAGTCAAGGATCCCAGCTACAGTAAACGTTCCTCCAATAATGGCGCAAATCTGAAATTTACAAAGAGAGAGAGTTTAGGGATTTGTTGATGATGAGACAGACCTTCACACAGCTTGAAACCCAGAGAAAAGATAAGTGCTTACAGTTATTGTACTTGATGGAGTCAATGGGTTATTTTGAGGGGGATCAATGCTGGGGAGATGGTTACATGTCAAGGCATGGGAACTACCAGTCCTGTTGAAGGGGAAAGGAACTTCTTCACAACACTATTAGCCCATTCTCTCTGCCAGCTCTACTCAAGGATGAAGTCACCACATTAAACAAAATGTCACTCATTTGGTGTGTATTTAGAAGAGTCCCCTCTTTATCCCCAGTATCACAAATACAATTGGATTTTCCTCTGGAGTGTACCTTGATCCCACTTTGTCTGAACCCCCTACTTCTGTTATCTACTTGAGTAAGTACCCAGCCCCTTCATACTCCAGGTCCATGTATAAGACCATTTAAAATAGCTTAAATCTGGTACATTTTAATCCAGTAGCTACCCCAAGAAATACTCCAAGGATTCATCACAGTGCTGACATCAGGACACATCAGTCATTGCTTTTGAAATGTGCACCTACTATATAGGGGAGCTCCAAAGCATGCCCTCACTGTTCCCCAGCCCACCTCAGAGAGCGTTAATATACTAGCACAAGGAAGAAAAGAATTTAAGGCAAAGGAATCTGACCCACCAGCTTCTATCATATGTTCCAATAAAAAGTACAGCACATCTCAAATGTCTAATAAAGTGCCTTTGTCTCACCTTTGTCCCTTCCCATACTCTGCCACTATTCCAGAGACAAATATCTGAGCAGCCTCCCAAGACAGTGGCAGAAACTCTATCACTTAGCACACGTTAAATACGTCTGGACAGAACACTAAAAAATGTGCCACAGGGAACAATGCTGCATTGGCCCCCAAGGAATGGGAAAGACTTGTCACATCATAAATCTAGCTCTAACTTTGAGGATTCTGTGGTATGAATGTCTCTTCCCCTGGATGTATGCAGTGTTGCTGTAGCCATGTTGGTCCCAGGATATTAAAGAGACAAGGTGGGTGAGGCAATATATTTTATTGGACCAATTTCTGCTGGTGAGCGAGACAAGCTTTTGAACTTACACAGAGCTCTTCTTCAGGTAACCAGAATAGCTCTGTGTAGCTCAAAAGCTTGTCTCGCTCACCAACAGAAGTTGGTCCAATTAAGTTACTACCTCATCCACCTTGTCTTCCTCTGGATCATCTTCTACCTAGAGTAGCCCTCTGGAATCTCACTACTCTCCCTTCCTGCTGACTCACTGGCCTGGTGGTGATTCTGTCCCTCCACACACTCACCTCACTTTGGTGTTCTGTCCCTCTATAGTCTTACAGTTGATGGTACAATATCCTTTCCTAATGCAACTCTTATTGACTGAAACAGCCTCGCTCTGCTTCATAGACTCAGCTATTTTCAAATCTCAGCAGAAAAAATCTCTTCTCCCTTATGGCTCTTAAATCCCCCATCCCCCACCTACTAACTTTAGCATGATGGCTTTCAACTAGACTTGGCAGGATTTGATATAAATGGTTAGTTGACAGTAAAAGTCGATTTCACCTGACACTCTAAAATATCCATCGGTAACAATCAGCAAATGCAGCCTCCCTCGCACCTTGTGCCTGCAAAGATCCAGTGTCACCGGCCCTACCGCCAAGCATGGAGCCCCCTACCGCCAAGCTCTCATGGCCCCACTCACTCACTCACTGGCTGGGAGCGTGGGGGGCTATCCCCAGGGAGGAGCCATTCAACAGCAGGATGGCCTCCCCTGTGGCCAGGGACTCGACCTCCGCTTTGCCCTGCCAGGACTGCAACCATCCCCCCACCTTGTGCTTGCAGGGATCCAGAGTCACTAGCCCTGCAGTCATGCAGGGTGCCCCTTGCAGCCCTGCTGTCATGGCCCCCTGCAGTCCCGCTATCAATGCCCCACCATGGTTGCACAGGGAGCCCCCTGCAGCACTGCTGTGAAACTGACTGGTTTAAAATAAATGTTCAATCAATCAGAAAAGGTTAAAAATAAAAATCTGTATCAGCCATTGAACTTACAAAAAAATAAAAATCAAATTCTGGCAAGCCGACTTTTAATTTAGTCACCACACAACATCTGTCCACTGCAGCTTTCTATCATCCATAGCAGTCTGCCTTCCCTTATTTATTGTAGAGCATTTTGCAATGCAGGGTGAACGTGTGTTGTTCAGCTCGTAAAGGATGGAGACTAATAAGAGATAGAGCTGGCAGCGACACAATAGTTAAGGCTACCTAACACTTTCCATTGTAAGAGCCCATTTTCAGTTGTTTATGACTTTGCCAAACTAACTGTTCAGGCTGAAGTTTTCCCATGCTGGGTATAAGCGTGTGGGACTCACCCCTGCGGCACCTCCTGCTGGTTGTCTCCAGGAATTAGCTATGCCAGCCTTGGAGCGCCCTCTGCAGGCCGGTGATCCACCTTGCCACTGGCCCTGGGTCCCTCCCAGGACCCTGGTGCCCCTTTCTCTGGGTGCTGCCCCAGGCAATACCCCCACAGTTCTGGGTCTCCCCCTCCCAGGGGAACCCCCACCCACTATCCCCACTTCGCCTCAGTCTTGGCTACTGCCCAGTCTCCATCTAGCCCCCGTTCACTGGAGCAGACTGCGGTATCAGCCACTCATCACAGGCAAAGGGGTTCGGACCTGCTGCCTCTGCCTACCCGTGGGCTGCCCCTTTGCAACCCCAGTACCCAGTTGGCCTTACCCTAGGCCTGCAGCCTGGGGGGTTTCCAGGCCGGAGCTCCCCAGCTCCTCTTGCCTTCCCCCAGCCCTGCTCCACCTTAGGTACCCAGGTACACTCCCTAGCAGCCAGGCCCTTCTCCCTCTAAAGGCAGAGAGAAAGTGTTTGCTTGAGCTCCTAGCTGAAGCCTTTATAGGGCCAGCTGGATCCTAACTGGGGCATGGCTCTAACTGAGCCTGCTTCCCACTCAGCCTGGGCTATTCTCCCAGCCCTCCCCCAGGGCTGGTTTTAACCCTGTCAGGGCTGGAGCGGGTAACCACCCTGCTACACTGGGTGTCTAACTCAGGCTGAATTATTTAAATCAATCAACCACGAAAGGAAAGAAAAACAAGCTTAGGGGGAAATGTTTTTCCAGTGTTAAACTCACAACTATTTCACTGAGAAGCTCTAGCACCTTCATGCTTTGGAGCAAGGACTAGAAATTTCACAGGAGAGTTGCCTTGGAAGTCAGAGGTGTTTCTTGGTGTCCCTATGAAAATGTACCCAATTTGTCTGAATTCTAAGCCTTGGAAAATCACCAATTGTACTTTCTCACTAGAAGTTTGCTAAGAGCTTTGACAGCAAAATTCTCTGAACATTCCATCCCCACAGAGCTCTGTAGCAATTGTGCTGAGCATACTCCACCCCGCCCAGACCGCACAGCATTCTCTGGCCTGGGGCTGAGCAGGACTTTCTTTGCAACTGCTCCTCACAGCTGTTGGGGGGCACTGTGGTGCCCAGCACCAGAACTGAGCCCATGGCGACTGCCTTTCCTGTGCTGGTGCCCAGGCAGCGTGGAGAAGAAGGAAACCTGACTCGGGGAGGGTAGAGGATTAAAGTGAAGGCAGGAGCAGAGGAGGAATGTGACAGAAGGAAACAATTTGGGGAGGGCTGGGGACATGCTAGGGGACAGAATCAGAAGAATCTGTAATTACTAGAGCATATTCTTCTCCAGAACCTTGGATTCCAGAGTCCCAATATTCCTCTGTTGGCAAATACCTGTAAAACCACTAATACAGTGTGTCTCATCACATTCTAGTAGCTGGTCCACACAGAATAGCAGGCCATAATCATCTATCACTTAATTAGCTTAAAGGGCAGATGTCTGTACTGTGGAACTAATGGTTCCAATTGTGCCGATGGCCCATGTTGGAAAGGGTCAATATGGTTCTACGTGGGTTTTTTTCCAAATTGCTTTTTGAAAAATGTGGGAAATTACATGAAAAACCCTATGTTAAAAGAACACTTAAGTTTAATAGTCACATACTCAAAAATTAGGAAACAGCAGCATTAAGGTTGCTCACGCAACCCTAATTCCCCCCCTGCCCACTCTATCTGCATATATATGAACTTTGATATAGTTTTTAATTACATGATCACATACTATTTTTCACAAGACCCCTGCCTCATTCAGGCACAGGATGGATGGTGTTCCAGGAATGAATCAGGGCTGTCTAGTGAATGAGACTATTGGCCCCGCCTGCTTCATTTGTTACAGAAGTTGCAAAGTGTGCGGTAAATGAGGCAGGGGACTACAAGAAAAAATAAGTAGTGGGTTTTATGGTGAAGGAATTCAAATGCCACCTTGGAGAAATGGATTCTTATCCCTGCCTCTACCAGAGGTTCCTATGTGATGCTGGGCAAGTCACAACCCAACTTTTCACAGGGGGCCACTAGCTGTGTGTTCCTCATTTTCTGAGTGCCCACCTTGAATCACTTGGGGCCTGATTTGTGGAAGTGCTGAGTGCTCACAGCTGTGGCTAAAATTAATAGAAACTGTTTTGTGAACATCTAAAATGTTAAGTACTCTGAAAAGTCAGGCCCTATGTGTCTTAGTGAGGGCATCCAAAATTAGTAGACAAGTTTGACCTTCATATCTCTTTTATATCAATATATCTCCTTTATACTGCTTCAGCTCCCCATCTGTAAAATGGGGTTGATACCAACCTTGCTACAGAGGGATGCTGTGAGGATAAAATTAATAAATATTTGTGAAGCATTCAATACTAAAATGATGAGCACCACAGAAAAGCCCATGAGGAAACTAATAATTTTGTATTCAGTGCTAGGTTTAAATTGTATGCAGTAAATAAGTCAGGGGTCAGACCTGAAAGATGGGGATAAAAAGAAATATTGAATAGATATCCCATCAGTGAGCACCATCCATCCTGGGCAACGAATGAGGCAGTAAAAATAGTATGTGATCATGTAATGAAAGACTGTATAGTAATGCATACACACAAAGGGCCCAAATTAAAGTTGCTAAGGTTTCTAACTTATGCGTGCTTGCCTTTGCAACCTTAATATTCTTTTAATGTAGTCTTTTTGTATGTCATTCAGAGTGCAGCCTGGGGTGGCTCATTGAACAATAGTGACTCTTGGAGCTGGTGAAAGGTGAACGAACTTGCAATGCTTCATTTGCTCAGGAAGAGGGAGGATTTGGACATGTGCCGGATCCTAGAGATGGATGGGAAAACGGAATAAGATTATTTAAAGCTTCAGGGCAATGGGTCAGCAGCTATAGGGAAGTTAGCTGTGCAACTTCCCTGGGAGGGAGCCAACCCCGATTTGGGCCTATTGCACCATATCCGATTTGCCACAGAACAAATCCCACTGGTATGCCACACAGACAAGCAGCAGTGGCTGAGTTAGGCAGGGAGTTTGTTACAGTAATAAACAGCTCTAATGATAGACTAATGATGAGAGAGGGCAGTGGGGAAGAAATCACTCATTTATAAACATATTTATAACCAATGATATTTGTGTCCTATGAGCTCAGTGAAACAGCAAGATGCCTCAGTGACGGTGGGCCCGGGTGATGTGTTTCTTGCAGCACAGCTGGCATTCTGGCAGATGAAAGCCTCAGAAACCAGAGCACCTGTCGGAGACTTAATTCATATTTTTGGGGAGCGAGTACACTCTTCGCACTCTGCCCCCCTCCCCTACCACCCCTCTGAATGTGACGCATGGTGACTTTTCAGGGAAAGTGACAGCTGAGGTGGTTGGCTATTTCAGTCCACAGGGGATCAGCTGACAGGAGATTTTACACCACAAAAAAATGCTTTTAGAGTTTGCATCAGATGGTAGGAAAATCTGACTTTAGTGCCGCCACGCAAGGGGGAAAAAAAACCCCACAGAAAAATACATATTAATCTGCACAGCTCTGTACCGCTGAGTGCTTATGACTCACACACACCTGGCATTTGTTTGCACTCTGCCTCCTAGCACACACACAGCTTTTGAGCTTGCTGTGACCAACAAAAGAGGTGACACACAAGGTCTCTCTGGGTCAATACAGAAGTGATGCTATGTCATTTATTTGTCAGACAGTCCACCAGTGAGGTTCTAATATGTGCTCAGAGTCCCGTTCTATGGTGGGATTCACGGGAAGCAGGAACCACACTGTTATTTATTTGTGTAGTGCCATGGGTGCAAAGGAGCTTTATAGATAGAATGACCAGTAGCTGCCTTAAGGAGATATTTACGCCTACCCCACCAAGGGGGAAGACAAATAAAGGAAGGGGAGTAAGGGAGGAGGGAGACAACAGTGAGAGATCATGCAATGATAACATGGGCAGCACATTAGAGTTTTAACAGATACGATTAGGGGACTACAGTGCAGTTGTTGGTAACAGAAGGCTGCATGGGTATAATGAGGGGAACATGAAAGAAGGGCAATGGCAACGTGGCTCTCTCTTCCCAAAATGAAATACCATACTGAGGATCTTCAGGGTTTCTTCATGATCAGATTTTAAGAGCAGAAGGGGCCATTGTAATCATGTAGTCTGAGCTCCTCCATAAAACAGGCAATATATTTGCATCCAGTAATCCCTGCACTGAGTTTAATAACTTGTTGTTGAGCTAGTGCATATGTATTTAAATCAAAACTGGGTGTTTTTCTAAGAGAGCTCATGTGATGGGGAGTCCACCACACTCCTCAATAAGCCGTCCTGATGCTTAATTGCTGTCACCGCTAAAAATTTGCACCGTATTTCCAGTTTGAACTTTTCTAGCTTTGACTTCCAGACACTGGATCTTCTTATGCCTTTGCCTGCTAGAATGAAGAGCCCTCTAATACTAGGCATCTTTTCCTAATCTTCCCTTGGGATTGGGGGTTCCTACATTGCTCCTTTGTAACTCTCCCTGTTTACTCCTCCCACAGAGCTAACCCAGTGTACTAAAAGGCTGCTCTCTGGCTAACCACCGAGGGGAGCTCACAACTGATAAAGTGTGAAATGTTGCACACACATACACCTTTATCCACCAATGACTTGTCTACACTGCGAAATGTCACTATGTTAACCAACACGTTAACTATCATGATGTTAAAGACTCTTTAGACAAGGATTGTCAAGTTTAACATTGTGTCAGCTGTTTGTGACTAACCGTAGGGTTCACAACCAGTTGACATGATGGTAATCATGGTAACCCTGGTCTTCACTTAGTGCTAAGTTGTGCTTAACGTTATATTTGTTAAAATGGGATACTTAAAGCATTTTCTAGCACAATGCTTTTTGCCATGTATAGATTAGGCCTCTTGCATGTCACAGAATGAAGTTCTTAATGTCACTGGAAACAAAAGGTGCGGCCAGAAACTAACAAGTGTTACACTAGACAGCATTACAGTTCGGATGGCAGTACTGAAGGCCATAACATATGGTACAGTGCTGTGTGTTCTGATGTATCAATCTCAGCTGCTTTGGGATTTTAAAAAGAAATTCCACGCTAGTGCAAGATGTCAGACATCCTCTGTTTATCCACAGAACAAGTATGGTAAGGACAACAGCAGCACAAGAGTCCACTGGAACTATATTGCATAGTCCCAACACTTCTTTCTGACCTGATCTCCCAGCACCTCCCTACACACAGCTGGTAGCCCTTAGCACCCACCATTCAACAGCTACATCATTCTCCCAACAGACACCCATGCTTAGGGTTCCCACAGACTCAGAAACTAAAAATTCAGCTGCCTTTGTGGTAACAAACAGGTTTACATTTACGACCCTGCCAAAGCCTCTCACAGCCCAACAGGGTCTTTTCCCAGCTACACCTCCAAGAACATATTTCAGTACTACAGTGTTTTTGTGATGATTGTGTGAGCATAGTTTAGTAAACAGGCTGCTCAATACGGAATGGGCAGGTGCTCCCTCCATAGCCCCCTTCTGTGGTTTTTAACCAAGCACCTGCTGAATAGCAAGAGCCTAGGGGTTTCCGAAGCCTGCCCCACTCAACAGTAACTCCAGCTGCCACAAGCAGATAATCTTCTGTTGGATCAGAATGCTGTGGCTTCAGCACGCCAATGACGACAAGCCAGTCCCCGGGGCAATCATGATGCAGAAGGCCAGGCTGGTAATACTACTAGGAAGAGCTAGAATGATGGAAATGACAACAGATCAGAGTGTCTCATTGAGATAGGACAAGAAAGCGGAGGACCAAGGCACCTTAATCCCCAGCAACCCTGCTCTCCCTGAGCCTTTCACAAAGCTTCCCCACACCTGCATCGAGAAACCTAAGAAGCCAGCACATGCACACAGGGGATCAAACCAAAGCTTGGAGTTCTCAGCCTAGATAAACATAAAGGGGACATGACCTGGAACTGCATCCTGGCCAGAGGGTCCCATTGATATAGCAAAGATCTGCATGGTAGGTAAATGCAAAAGGTCTGACACACAAGTTACATCAGTCACCCTCAAGTGACAGGACATGGATGTACTGTTACCTGAAGGTCTCAACATAACAAATATTAACACAGAGCAGCCCAAATGGAGCCACCTAAACCTGGGAGGCTAATTTGGTGGTAGTCGGGAGGAAAGAGAAATGGCTGGAACATTCTCCCCACCAGCTACTTACACAATTTTGAAGCACAGTGTTTTATTTAACACAGATGCTACAGCTGTTCCTAACCATGAGATGACCTCTTAGCAACAAGCAAATAGACATGACAGTGAACAGCAGTGCAGAGTACTGAAGTATGGACTGGTCCCAGGTTTCAAACCATGCTACCTACCTCCCCCAAAAAGAAAAGAACATGGGACCATAATTTGGGAGGGAGAAGGACAGCAAGAAGCATTAGCAACCAGGTTAGTAAGCCCTAATGTTTTAACCTATTGACCACACTTTGAGACCAGGCAGACATGCTAATTAAAGAAGGGCCCAAACCATGAAGTTCTGGATCTCAACTCTTCTGCCTCAGAGTTTGGGGGTGTTTTGATCCATCTCTAAAGCTGATTGAATGTTTATTGAGAACTCCAAAAGCCAAACCTCCTAGGGACAGAGCACAGCACAACTGATAAAGCACCATTTATGTTTACAATTCAAATATTCAGACCCCAGTTCCAAAGTACAGGTCTTGGGCGCCACCAAAGTCAGGTTATTTCAGTCAGTTTATCATAGACACATGGAGCTTATATGTCCCGGTATGTAATGCTACACACTTTTCTGAGTAGCCAAGGTACACAGCACGATGGGTCCTATAGTCTGTACATGCTAGGTCCCATTATTAGAGAGGAGGTCTGCTGCAATCTGCTCTTATTGTGTATTAGTTAGGTTTTGCCCCCATGTTCCTGGCATATTGCCAGTGTGCCTCCCTTCCCTCCCAACCCAATGGGCAAACAGCATGGGTACCGCTGGTGCAGGATATTTGTCTTTCTTTTATGCCAAAGCGGTTAAATCAAACCATCAAAGGTTAGTTCTCTCTTATCGGATGCTCCACTTTTTCCTCCAATTTCGATACGTGTGAGCTGGCTAAGGCAAAGGCGGAGCTCAGCTTTACTCTCAGGAAACGTCATAGTACTCTGAAGCAGGAACTCAGTTCCCAGATTGGGCGAGGAGGGCACGGGAAGAGCAGGAGAGGGCAAGAAGGAAGAGTCACAGGCTTAAAGTAACTCACCGATGTGATAAACCTGTACAAAGGTTGCCGCCTCTCTGTATATTTCACTGTGATGGGGCTCAGATCATAGCGAAACCAGATAGCGGGGATAATGCGGCCAGTGTGACTGTAGGCAACATACTCCTGGAAAAGAGAGTGGGGAGAGGAAGGCAGAAAGCATGAGCAATTTTATTTCAAAGAAGTTGATCTCAGAACTGACTCCCTTCCCACTGGGCTGCTCCTCATTCCTATCAGGGAAAATTGCAACCTACTATCAGGAGATAGTAATTACCCATAACGATTACACTAAGAAGAGTAACTTGTTCATTTCTGAATGACTATAAATAACAATACTGACTGCCTGGTGATGTGGCACAGAACAAAAAATGCCACTCAGTATGACCCTAATCCAAAGCCCACTTAAGTCAATGAAAAAAGACAGTTTTGGATCAGCCCCAAGTGGATACATGGATTTTCCAAGTGGTTGTAGATAGAGTTCTAGCACTATTAACATTAAAAACTGCAGCTAACCCACTGGTAAGTTAAGCAATACAAAGGGAATTTGACTTACACCAGCTTGTTGGCCTGCCCCCTGCATTCAGAACAAAGCAGCATTTCCTGTGTCTGAGGCCCCATCCACGCTGGGGTAAAAACAGTTTTTAACACTTTTTGCCTGCCCAGTGCAAATAGGACAGAGCTGTGTTTAAACCAGGTTAAGAAACTTGCTCTAGGCAAGGAGGGGACCTAATGTAGCACAGAGTTTGCAAACACCATTTTAAATCTGTTCAGCAGAGAGACTCTTAGCTCCACTGTGGACAGGACCCTTTAATCCACTTCCTATAGAGCAGGTACATGTGAAGTATCAGCCAAAGGGCAGCTCTCCAGATCATCCACCGTTATGGAGAAATCAGCACTGTGAAAGGGATTTCTAAAACCTGCTTTGAAAATACATCTTAGTTCTATCAGGTCTTACCAAGAAAATATTTAGTTGTTTTGCTGTATAATATTTTAACTGTGCCCTCGACACGAAGATAAATACCAGCCACTGATATGAGCAGACAAACAAGTAGAGGAGGAGAGTTGGCTTTGGGATACAACAAACCTTTAAGAAATGCCTGAGCATGCCCTGCACATTCCAGCCCTTATTTCAACAGATACCCCTTCCCTATCCCTGTGACGAGTGTGCCACTTTTGACTGATAGACCCAACTCTTCAGGAGGTAGGGACAACAACAACAACCCTAGAGAGGTGGATGAAGGACTAACAAAGGCGTGTCCACAGGTACAACACTAACAGGATGATCTCCTCTCAAAGGGAGAGGGAACCAACTGAAGCAGCACCATCGTGCTCCATCAACCCCACTGGGATTTTTCCTCCCTTTTGAAGTCTCTTCCAGAGTCGGTGGACTGAGCTTCAATGGACAGAATAGGAGGGGACCCATACAAGCATATTTTAAGGGCTCCTAGCAGAACTAATTGGTTGATGCCAGAACTGTAGTGGTGGCTTTGGGTTGAGAGGAAACAGAAGATCTAGGAGATAACATGGGAGAGGAGACAGACAGTCCACACACATCACCATCATGGTAGAGAACCACCTCATGCTAGGGCATCTATGCCAGACTATTCCAAAGACTTCCTTCCGATTCCTGCTTCCCTCTTATCAGCATGGGAGTTTAGAGCAGAGGCAGTAATCAGAAACCTTTTTAAAATGCACAGAAAATGCAGACACAGCTCCATTTGCTTGCACTCTGGTTATGAAAAGGAACAGTTTTGACAGAACTGACCTCATTTTTTCCTTCCTGACCCTCCGCCCTCAGCAACACAGTCCTGATGATTCAGTCTTGGCTGAGGGCCCCAATTGCAATCCTGCTCACTGAAGTATCAAGATCAGCAGCTCAGGCTGTACGTTTTCCCAATTAATTTCAGAACTTGTGTTGCAAGAGAGTCTTATCAGAAGAGTGGTTGTAACATTAAAAGAGAACAAATACATTCTATCCAGGGAGAGAAAGCTATCCAAACCCTCAGGACACTCTGTACAGCACAACCAGAAAGCACAGGAGACTATTGCTAGTCTTGGCACAGCTCATGAGAGCACAATAAATGAGTGGATATTTTAGCAGAATGGCAGCCTCAGAACCCTCAAGTAGAGCAGACACAATAAATCCACATGTGAAAGGTCTGAAGGGAAGTAAGAGCCACTCGATGCTCCACTGGGCCAATGCAATCAAGAGATGTCCTGCACAGACATTCACAGACACGAAGAGCAACAACCCTGCCCAATTTCGAGCGACTAGCAAAGGCCAGTACTCCCATAAACAATTCATTACATTTGCTCTATGTGTTAAAATAATTGTTAATTTTTAGAGTCTTAAGACTCTTTAAAGGGAAAATAATTAGCCCCCAACCAATTCAGTCATGGGAATGGCCTGCCAGGTTTCTACACTGTAAAAACAAGAGAGTACCAGGCAATAAATCTCTCTGAAACCCCTTTAGCAAGAGAATTAGGATCTAGAATTACTTCAGGCTATGAAGGTTTTCGGTACAATATATCGGGACTTGAGTCAGTTAAGCTCACATAGGAGAGAGTCAGCTGCAAGGCAACAATTCTTCAGAGAAAGAATAATTAGCACCAGGCGCTGAGAAAAATTCTCATGCTACTATAATGTAGCTGCTGCTAAGTATAGAAGAGATGACTGCAAGAGTCCTCGTTCTAAAGGAATTCAGTTCCTCACTCTTCCAGCAGAGGGTACTGCATGCCTACCAAACACAAATGCTTTATACCAGAGCGCAATACCAATAAAATGGATTGAGTTTTAAGTAAAGAGCTTCCTATGAACTCATTGGGTTTTTCTTCCCCAATGGCAAGCCTACGTAACAGTCACCTCCAGCCTTACCTTGTTTGCTACAGTATACTGGTATGAGTACCGCTGTTTGCCGCTCATGTCTTCATACACGGTGGGGACTATCTTCAGTATATAATCATGAGATGCAAGGGCTATGAGTCAGAAAGGGAAAGGATAGATTAGCCAGTGAAAAAGCCCATGCCCCCAGAAGGAGGGTGGGAGCTCATGACAGCTATTAGTAAAGGATAGGGGTGATTTTGGTGGTAGCAGTAGCAAGTGGGTGGGGGTTAGAAGAGCAGTATACAGATGCAAATACCATAAGCTCCCAGTTCATACTTGCTACAATCCATGTGATACCCAGCTAATCCCTCTTGTAGCAGGTGATCATAATCAAGCTGAGCTGCAGAGAATGCCAGCGACTACAAAACCCAGGGTGCAAGAGGGAGGTAGCAAAGGACCCTGTGGACTAGGCCTTCCCTAGGGCCAGGGGTGGGAATTGAAATCCCATTCACTGATGCCTGGGTCCCTTTGGTTGCTTATCTGGCCCCCTAATCAGTGTTGCATTAATATCCTGGTTTTCATTTTGCTTTTGCCCCCTATCAGTGGGCTGGCTAAGCCCTGGAAGCACTGACAATACATACGGTTTGAGCTGAGCTTGTCGGCTCCCCCCAGGGCATTGAATGCTCCATGAATGTTCTGGACCTGGAGAGCGAGAAGAGACATACAATGGTTATATTCTATACTTGGTGCTTTTGACTTTTGCTTCCCCACCTTTGAAGGTTCCAGTTTGACTCAGTCTTCCCAAATGCAAAGCCTCAACCCAATGAGAAAAAGGCACAAATTATTCTCAGTGGCCATTACCACAAGGCTTGGCTCCAATTGGTGAGGTTGTAAGATCAACCTCCAAAGATCTAACATTAATGTCCACTCTAAATTGCTTCAGCCAAGGGAGCACTCCCAGATTGGAAGTGACTGGTGGGGAAACACAAGTCAGTCTGAAGCTTTGAGGTGAATCTCCATGGCAAACTATGACATCATTGCACACCAGTCTGCGTTGGTGGGTGGTGTCATCAACCCATAATTAGGATCAATCTCCCAGCTGGAGAATAAAAGCTTGCACTAGCAAGCGCTCATCATTCTATCACATGCAAATACAATGTAGAGACTATAGCCTGCTGGGAGTCACACTTTAAAGATTCAAATTCAGGGCAGAACTTGGAGCTGCCTGCTTTCTACTCAGACGCATCCCTAGAACAAACACCACATGCTATATCTTGGAAGAGGGGAAGGAGACATGCCAGCTAGGCCATCCATTCCTTAGCAGTTGGTTCCAGGCACGCAAGTGTTAGGCATTCCCAACCCCTCACCACAGATCAATTGGATTCCCCCATTACTCCCCACTCCTCTAAGGTAGAGGCTAATGGAATTAGTTGAAAACAATAAGGACCAACATCCACCAATAGAATGATTGATTTGGGAAATTTCTGGAATGGTGAAAGCTATACAGAAGTCCTGCAACTGTAGTCAGAGGGTTGCAATGTAACACATGCCACATTAAGATATACAGAAGGAGAAGAGATATCCACGAGCCGGGAAATTACTGACAGACAACAGATAAGCAGTTTTGTTCGGAGGAAGAGTTGTGTCCTTCTAACTTTCACTGCATTAACAAGTCACTGCACCAATTTGCATTGCCCACCATCCTTCCAACAGCTGTAAGCACTTGACTGCATAGGACATATCCACCTGGTCCTACGGCATGTTTCCTTGATCACTATTCCACAGCAAGATGGAATATCCTAGGAAAGAAAATTCTAGCAAGACAAATTCCTGGTTTTTCATCAAATTGAACTGACGGAACAGGTTACATGCAGGTGACAAATATAACTGGAAGCACAAATGAGTTTTCTATAATGCCTTCCAGACTGCTGGTATCTCAAAAGGCTTACACAGTTCTGAGTTGGATAGTAGCAGTGTAGTAACTAGGCAGGCAGATAGCATTCTGTGCTACAGCTCACACATCCTTGGACATAAGTTTATCTAGAGAGGGAGAATATTTGACTTGGCAACAGGGCTAACCCCAGCTCTTCTTGATACATGCAATAGGAGTCAAACTTCTACTAGGAAAGCCCTTTGAGACAGGCAGAAGGGGCATTAAGGTCTCATCTGAAAGATGGCACCTGTTATGACACAGCAGCTCTTCCAACCACTCCTTCAGCATCAACATCCAGTACAAGTCCTGGCAGGGAAAATGAAGCCTGAAGCTTCAGCTCAGAGGGTAGAGCACGTTATTAGCTGAATAGTTAATCCTGGCAGAATCAGGTACTTTTTGAAGACAACTTGGAATACCTCCCTTCTCCAAAAGGAGCCACACATTGAAGTGACTCCACAAAGGAATTAATGGTCAAGCAGAAGTGTCCTCATATTAGGGGATACTTTGGGGGCAGCTCAGGACAAGAGTCTCCCTAATAACAGTGATCTCTACATAATCTAAAGAGGGAGCATATATCAGTGAGGAAGCATACATGCTTGATTTACATGAGCTGCTGGCTGCACTACAAGCGACGAACCAGTGCAATCAAGCCCCACCTCTGCAACATGCCAGCAGAATGCCTGGTGGTTTTCAATGTCATAATACCTTGAAGAGGTGGAAAATCAAGGCAGCTGGAAGTGTGATTAGCAGGCATAAGAGCATGGATGTGTATATGGAATGCTGGTTTAGCTCAGCATATTTACAGACAGCTGTGGTACTTCAAAACTAGTTCAGAAGGGATGAGCTCAGCTAAACATCTATTTCAGAGGATTGTCTGTGCATTACATAACTCCATGAACCATCCAACCCTTCCTGAGGTACACACAAGACATCAGAGTTAAGTTTAAACTACCAGGTTAAGGCCAGGGCAAGATTTGTCACTCAATAATAGTTCTGACACATTATACATATAAAAGTTCCCCAATGTCCTTGATCTTAGTGGGTAGCATATCACCTGCTTCTGATCCACTTGGTACTTTGGCCTGGTCTACACTAGGGAAATTTACAAAAAGTTTCCCACCAATTCAGCTTGAGCCACTATTAAAACCAATAGGAAACGTAGTTTAGGCAAGGTTCCAGCAGCCAGACCAGTCTTTAAACCACTATTTCAATTAGACTTGCTTTCAGAAGGGTTAGCTAAAATATTAGTAAAAATGGGTTGCTAGATCCTTGTCTGAACTCTGGTGGTCATCTGTTTTGATGACAGTTCAGCTGAAACAGTGCTAAAACTGGTGGGATACTTTTTGTAAGTTTGCCTAGTGCAGACAAGGCCTAGGAGGCCATGCACAACAGCACACAGTCAAGGCACAAACAGACTTTGGGGGCAAACGTCCAGTGTCTGGAAAACATTCCCCAAGTTTTTCCAATGTCAAAAACCCACAAGCTTTAGGTATAATGTCCTGCGAGGCGAGGGTTCAAGAGGGCATAGTTACAATGCAAAAAAACCCTTTAAATTATTTAATTCTTCTCTGTAAACAAGAAGAGCAAGGATCCCCGCCCTGCACAGTTTACTGAGAGCGATGTCTCATTTTTGTGCCACAAGTAGGGGGTGCCTGGAAGGTTCCACCCCCGCAACGCACATCCCAAATTGGGCAGGAAGCTAAGCCCCAGGATCCCGCAATCATATTGTCAGTGAGCGGCGTCTCATTTTGGTGGCTAATGTGGACAGAGCTTATTTTGTGGGCACAGCTTGGAGGAGTACCACCATCATTTCCCAGCCACCCTCCAATCTGGTCACTGGTGGCAGGAGATATCCCCATTTTGCAGACAGGGAAACCGAAGCACAGAGTTGTTAAATGATTTACCCAAGGTCACAAAACATCTGTATGATACAGGTAAGTGACTAGACACTGATCTACTGAACACCAGTCCCATGCTCTAAGAACTAGAGCACGCGGTCATCCAGTATACTGGAGAGAACACCCCACCCTATTTTGAGCTCTGCACTTCAAATGCAGGAACTACAGAGATGAAGTGTAGAAAAGGTTAATGAAGCCTAAAGTAGCACAGCCTCTGAGACTCCAGTGGGCTTTTCACTATTGGAGAGAGGGGATAAATATTCTCCTAGTCTGTCAGCAAAAGGAGGTGGGGAGATCCCTTGAGGGATAAACTGGGAAGTTTTTGCAATTGGAGTTTATGAAAAACCCACATTTCAGGCCATGACACAGTAAGGAACAAAGGAATCAGGCAAGCCCTTCAACCCATTATTAGATCAGCAGATACCCTAAGATAGAGGCAGGTGAAACCAAAAATAAACATTGAACAAAGAAAGCTCACCTATATCCAGACCACATTAAAATAATCCACACACACCCCCTCAGGAAATCACTCTGGATACGTCTTTTGCTGTAACTGGGAGTATGCTTCCCACAGTGCAGACGCACTAGCTCTGCTTCAGCTAGGATGCTAAAAAAACAGGGTGGCTATGGTGGTGGCTCAGGCTAGCCACCCAAGTACATACCCAGGAGGTCAGGTGAGCTTGTGCATGGTTGGCTAGCCTGAGCTGCCGTTCATGCTACCGTGGCTACACTGCTATTTTTAGCACACTAGCTCAAGCAGAACTAGTGCATCTATGTGCCTGCTCTGAGAAGCACACTCTGGCTGCAGCTTAGACGTACCCTCAGTGGCTCTCACCAGTACTTGCTCAGTCTAGCTAGAAGCAGAGTAGCGAACATCTCCTCCCATGTCACATGCCCTTTAGCTCATGGTTTTGCTTACTGTGCCAACAGCACGTGCGCACACATGCATGAAGAGATAGAGGTGACTGAACAGCATATGTTATTTAAGGGCATGAGATTTCTGAATCAACTTGTAATGGCACACACCAATAGCCAGATACGTCTGGGAGAGTGGCAGACTATATGATGTGCTACATACTTCTATGCTGGGGGACACAACGTCTGCAATCAGACATCTTCTGCCTGATCCACTCCATGCTCAAAGCCCTCCCATTGCCCAGCCTTCCCACCACATTCATGCTAACACTCTCCAAAGACGTATAACATTCCTGTATAGGACACGTTTCCCATGCCGTCAGCAGCAGTCCCTATTAGCACTTACCTCTTATAGTGAACCACCATGTCTACTAAAGTTACGATGTATTTTTCATATTTTTCAAAGTGCTTTACAAACATGAAACCAACTAATCAATATGCTAATATTTCAATGCTCCAACACAAGACATGTCCTAAAGGAAGCAGGAGCAGAATGAAATAGAGACTACAAAGCAATGCTTCAGACTCATTAGCATTACAAAGATTTTGGAGTAAGCAGGCATGTGTGGAACAGGGAGCAGCGTAATGAAATGTCTGTATTGAGGAACCAGGATTACAGAGATGCTCTGTTTAAGCCACGTTGGGGGGTAAATCATGGAATAGGTGTGTGCACGCACCTTTGTATCCCTATGAACTCAGCTTTCTGGAAGCAAGTTACAGAGGTGCAGGGCTGAGAGTTGTCTCCATTAAGAAGTCAGGAATGATGTAATAACATACAGCATACCAGGTGAAACCCTAGCCATAGGGCAAATGCACACATTCACCTTCTCCCCAGCTGTAGGCTGGCAGCTTTGAACAACCGCTCAATTTGTCCTAGGAGAAGGGGGAAAGTTGCTAGATGTCTCACTTTCTAATCTTTGATCTCCCTTAGAAGCATAGCGGAAGGAAGGGTGATATGGGGCTAGAATTTGTTGCAGTACCATATGCTCTCAACTACCACTCCTGTGGTATTGTAGTCCCTTGATGTACATGCCTAGTCTGCACAAAGCCACTAACTGAAGCTACATGTGCAAAATGAATATTCAAAGCAACTTGCCAAGTGCTGTAGCAGGGAATCTGGAGTCAGGATTCCTAGGTTCTATTCCTAGTGATGCCAGTGACATCACAACCTTTTTGTGCCTCCATTTCCCATCACCATCTGTACAGCAAGGATAGGGCTACTTTCCATCTTTTCAAAAGCACTGTGAGATCTATAGATGAAACACCGCCACAGAAGTTTGAAGTTCTCTATTGTGAATGAGAATACAGCTCCTCCCTGCCCTTCCCCACCACACTCAGCCCTTCTGTAAAATGCTTCAAAATGTAGTAAAAAAAGAAGAAGACTGGTTCCTCTGCCCCTGAAGACAGCAAGATGGCCTGGAGGAAGGACTCACCTGTAACTTATCCCCAAATGAGAGTTTGTGGATGATGTGCGTCATGTCAGGATTCTGAGGCTGTGCAGTGGCACTGTGTGTTGACACATGAAAGTTACCTGGAACCTGCAGTCAGCCAATCATTCAAAAAAAAAAAAAAAAAGAAACACATGACTCTAGATTTTATTTCCCTAGGCATTACTAGGTATCGCAACATAAAATAGGACCACAAGGATAAGATCACAGACCCATCTACTCTAGCAGCAGCCAATACTTGATGTTTCAGAGAAGGTTTGAAAGCCCATAATGCACCTGGCCTGCGAGGTAATGCTGCACATAGAGGGGAGATCAGCTTACATCCCAAAATACAAGACCCAAGTGCCCTTATATAACATTCCATAAGCTTGCTAGATGTTTTCAAAAAAATCATACCCCAACATTTCCAGTTCCCAAGACCTAAGGCACACCTTCCCTTTCCCCATCGAAATGAAGATCCACGATTGTCGGAGGTGAAAAATTGTCGTCTAACATTTTTCTCCCACACTCACACTTATACATGGACCCATTATTGTTTAGCTGCCTGGAAAAGTCATGGGTACTAGTCTTATTGTAGTGTTGCTCATGTGCACTGTTCTGTTCAAAAAGATTTAGAATAAAAGGGAGCAGATTTATTTATTTTTTAAATATAAGGAGTTAGAGGCTCCATGTACATACAAACTGGTCAGATTTTCAGCTTCCAGCCCCTTCAAGAACAGGCTTATTTTGTTAATTTAGGGAAAAAGACAGTTACCTTTTCCATAACTGGTGTTCTTCGAGATGTGTTGCTCATGTCCATTCCATATTATGTGTGTTTGCTCGCCACATGCACCGGTGCCGGAAGTTTTTCCCTCAGCAGTATTTGTAGGGGACCAGCTCTGACGCCCTCTGGAGTGGCGCCTGTATGGTGCCGTATAAGGGGCGCCGCCAGGTCCTCCCACCCTCAGTTCCTTCTTGCCGGAAACTCTGACAGTGGGGAAGGAGGGCGGGTTGTGGAATGGACGTGAGCAACACATCTCGAAGAACACCAGTTATGGAACAGGTAACTGTCTTTTCTTCGAGTTCTTGCTCATGTCCATTCCATATTAGGTGACTCCAAAGCAATACCCCTGGAGATGGGTAGGAGTTCACGGACATGCAGATTGCAACACAGCTCTGCCGAAGCAAGTATCGTCCCTGGCCTGCTGAGTGATGGCATAATGAGCCGTGAACGTATGGACAGAGGACCATGTTGCAGCTCTACAGATGTCCTGGATAGGGATATGTGCCAGGAAAGCCGCCGAAGACGCCTGCGCTCTCATTGAGTGGGCTCTGACAATCGGCGGCGGCAGAACCCCCGCCAGGTCCTTATGCATGAGATGATCCAATTGGAAATCCTCTGCAAGGACACCGGGTGACCCTCCATTGCTGTAGCAATGAAGAGTTGAGTCAATTTTTGGAAAGGTTTGGTGCGTTCTAAGAAGAAAGCCAAGGCCCTTCGGATGTCCAGCGCGTGAAGACACCTCTCCTTACTAGTCTTGTGCGGTTTGGGAAAGAACACTGGGAGGAAGATGTCCTGGTTCATATGGAAGGTGGGAAGCAGGAAGACTGGGTAGGGCCGCAATTGAACCTTATCTTTGTAAAAGACCGTGTACGGAGGTCCCGAGGTCAAGGCTTTAATTTCAGAGACCCGTCTTGCCAACCAGGAACGCAGCCTTCCATGACAGGTGGGAAAGGGAGCAAGAACCCAGCAGCTCAAAGGGCGAGCCGGTGAGCCTAGAGAGGACCAAGTTAAGACCCCACTGTGGGACAGGAGTCCGTACCTGTGGGAAGAGTCTCTCGAGGCCTCTCAAGAATCTGATTGTCATGTCATGAGAAAACACTGTCTGGCCTGGATCGGTGGGTGAAAAGCAGAGATGGCCGCGAGATGCACTCTAATGGAAGTGTGTGCCAGGCCTTGGTTCCTCAGATGAAGCAGGAAGTCCAAGACAGACTGTATGGAAGAACGTGAGGGAGAGATGCCACACTTGGACGCCCAGCGGGAAAACCTCGTCCACTTGGCCAGGTAAGTCAGTGTGGTTGAGGGCTTCCTGCTTCCCAGGAGAACCTGTTGGACCTCATCCGAGCAGGTCCACTCCTCTGGGTTCAGCCAGGCAACATCCACACCGAGAGGTGGAGGGACATGAAGTTGGGGTGCAGGAGCCGACCATGGTCCTGTGACAGCAGGTCTGGTCAGTTGGGCAGGGGCCAGGGAGGGGCCACTGCCAGGTTCATGAGCGTGCCGAACCTATGCTGGCGAGGCCATGCCGGGGCAATCATGATAACCTGTGCCTTGTCTCTCTTGATCTTTGCCAGGACCCTGCTGATGAGAGGAATCGGAGGGAATGCATACATCAGGCTCCCTGATCATGACAGGAGGAAGACATCGGAGAGGGAGTCCTTGCCCAGGCCTTGCCGCGAACAAAACTGGTGGCATTTCCTGTTTAGCCTGATGGCGAACAGGTCCACTCGGGGAGTCCCCCACCTCTGGAAGATCATGCCAGCTACCTCCAAGTAGAGTGACCACTCATGGTGAGAGGAGAAGGCCCTGTTGAGGTGATCCACTAGCGTGTTCTTGACATCAGGGAGGTGACAAGCTTCCAGATGGATTTCGTGGCTGATGCAGAAGTCCCAAAGATGGAGTGCCTCTTGGAAGAGAGTCAACGAACATGCTCTCCCTTGCCTGTTGATATAGAATATAGAGGCCGTGTTGTCCTTCAGGACTCTCACCACCTTGCCCGGCAGGTGAGGTAGGAAAACTCCGCATGCCAAGCGGACCACCCTGAATTCTTTGACGTTTATGTGTAATGTCATCTCCTCCGGGGACCACATACCCCGAGTCTGGCGGTCGCCCAGGTGCGCGCCCCAGCCAAAGTCCGAGGCGTCTGATACCAAATCAATGGTGTGATGGGAGGTGTCGAACGGAACCTCCTCTAGGACCATCGTATGATCGCAGTGAGGCAAGTACTGTCGGGGGAATGGTAACGACTTTGTCCAGGTGATCTCTGGACTAGGAATAGATCATCGCCAGCCATTGCTGCAGGGGCCACATCTGGAACCTGGCATGACGGACAACGTATGTGCAAGCTGCCATCTGACCCGGCAGGTGCACACAAACCCTGGCCGTAGTCAGGGGGAATGCGGAGACCTCTGCGATGAGGTCCGTCAATGTCTGGAACCTTTCTAGCGGCAGGAATGCTCTGGCGCAGGTAAAGTCGAGCGCTGCTCTGATTAACTCTATCCTTTGCATCAGAACTAACGTAGACTTTTTGTTGTTCACCAGTAGGCCCAGGGAGTGCCACGTAGCTTGCAGCACCGCAACATCCTGGTGGACCTGAGACCTGGAGTTGCCCTTGACTAGCCAGTCGTCAAAACACGGGTAGCTCTGGATACCCCGATGCCGGAGGTAAGCAGCCACCACTGACATGCACTTGGTAAATACTCTGGGTGCTGTTGCCAGGCCGAACGGGAGGACCATAAACTGGTAGTAGTGGGGCCCCACCATAAACCGGAGGAAGCCTCTGTGACCTTGAAAGATCGCTATGTGGATGTATGCGTCCTTCAAGTCGAGGGCGGCATACCAGTCTCTCGGATCCAGGGATCCAGGGAGAAGCCAGGGAGAAGCCAAGAAGACCATGCGGAACTTTAGCTTCTTTAGATACTTGTTGCGGTCCCTCAGGTCCAGGATGGGCCGCAGACTGCCCTGGGTCTTTGGGATTAAGAAGTACCAGGAATAGAACCCCTTGTTCCTGTACTCGAGAGGAACTTCTTCCACCGCACCCAATTGTATCAACCCCTTTACCTACTGCGCGAGGAGACTCTCATGAGAAGGGTCCCTGAAGAGTACGGGGGAGGGGGATGGGGGAAGTAAACTGTAGGGTATAACCCTCCGCCACAGTATTGAGAACCCAGAGGTCTGAAGTTATAGCTGTCCATGTGGGGAGGAAAAAAGAAAGGCGGTTGGAGAACAGCGGGGCAGACAGATCCGGGGTAAAGTCTGGTAGGTCGCCCTCGAGTGCACCTCAAAATGCTCGCTTGCCCCCCTGCTTATTGCGGGTCGAGCCTGACTGGGCAGAGGGAGGAGGTGGGTGGCTCGGGTGGCGCTCGTAGCCTCAACTCTTCTTATGTGGGGGCTCCTGGCGGGTTTGACTCCCTTGGCCTTGAGATTGTTGTGGTTTGAACCACTTACGGGCTAGACTGGGAACGTACAGCCCCAGAGTTTTCAGGGCAGTGCAGGAGTCCTTAAGGCCATGCAATTTACTGTCCGTCTGTTCTGCAAACAGAGCCTGGCCGTCGAAGGGGAGGTCCTGCATCAATTGCTGAGCCTCCCTTGACAGACCCAAGAGGAGCAGCCAGGATGCCCTTCGCATAGAGATGGCCGAGGCCATGGTGCGAGCCGCAGAGTCTGCTGCATCTGAGGCTGCTTGGAGGGCCACTCTTGCTGCAGCCATGCCCTCTTCAAGGGTTGCCCAGAATTCCTTCTTGGACCCTTTGGGCAGCGAGACCTCGAATTTGTCCATAGACTGCCACATATTGTAGTCATAACAGCCAAGGAAGGCTTGGTGGTTGGCCACTCTCAACTGAAGGCTGGAAGATGAATATATTTTTCGCCCAAACAGATCCAGTCACTTTGAGTCTTTATTCTTGGGCGTAGTCCTGGGTTGACCCTGCCTCTCCCTCTGGTTAACGGCCTCAACTACGAGGGAGTTTGGGGCCGGGTGAGTATAGAGATACTCATGGCCTTTAGCTGGCACAAAATATTTGCGCTCAGCCCTTTTTCAGATGGATGGCAGGGAGGAGGGGGTTTACCATAGGGTATTAATTATTTTCGATACCCCCTTGTGTAGGGGTAAAGCCACAAGTGGGTGCTGTGGAGCAAAGGACGTCGAACAATGAGTCCGACAGCTCCTCAAGTTCCTCTGCCTGGAGCCCCAGGTTAGAGGCGACCCTCTTCAAAAGTTCCTGATGAGCATTGGCGTTATCTTGCAGAACTGGGTGAGGGGGACCCGTAATCACTTCGTCTGGTGATGAGGACGAAACCAGCGCCGAGGGATCTGCATCTCCTGGTGGTCCAACTGGCTGCTCACCTAGTTCCTCATGGGCCTGGGGTGGGGGGGTCTTCCCCTGTGGGGCCTCCACCTCCAGAGGAGGGCGGGATGCTGCGGCCGATGGCCTATCTGAGGCCCCCGCCACTGATCAGACGGCCTGGGAAGGCTGGGTGAACCCCCATGGATTCCAAGGTTACCATGCTGCCGGCCATTGGTCTGGAGGCCACAGGGTCGGTTGCGGTACCAACGAGGCCGACGGTACCACTGGTGCCGGGGCCTGTCCTGCTACCAGGGACTCCTGATCAGCACTGGAGTCATAAGCAGAATGGACGCTGCGGAATGACCATGAGCGGCTGGCTCAGCGGCCCGCCTCACCGCAATGCTGGCCGCTGTGCCTCGACGCTGACCTGTGCAGTCGGGAGACGTTCCTCCCATGGGACTCCGGGGATCTTCGGCGTTCGGTGAATCTGTGTCAGTAGACCGCTGATCTATGCCTCACGCTGCTTGGGCTGTACCGGGATCTAAGTGGGACCGGGAGTCTGTGTGGGCTGGTCGTCAATAGCATCTCCCCGATTGAGGGGATTCGCATCTCAGCGACGGGTGCCGTCGAGCAGGTGACCCCAGTCCGCTGATCGGTCGCAGGACTGGTGCCGACGCATTGGAGACCCAACGGGTCGGTCTCGACACTCACGTCGGGGGGCATGTGCCTCCGCAGGTCTGCGTCTGCAAGCTGCACCTCAAATCCTGCTGTCGGTGCCCAGGGTCCAGAGACCGAAGAGGGCTTCTCTGAGCCTGCCTCCCAAAGTCCAAGGCATGATGGCTCCATGGGAGCGAGCACTGGCGGGATGTCCCCCAGGATGGGGAGCGGCGCTGCTGAGGCAGGGACACTTGGAACGGTCCCAAGGCAGGTTTACCCCTGGGTTTGGGTACCACCAGAGCTGGTGTGGGTGGCACCGGTAGCATCAGAATCTCCTGCGCTGCCTGCAGGGCCTCGGGCATCGACAGAACTTTGAGTTGACAGAGGCCCTGGTCACTGTCCGGTGTGGCAGGCATAGTACAGGAGGGGCTTGACCGCTCGACATGAGCTGGGGCCCGACTCCCTCACAGAGATGTTGAGCCACCCAGCACGGATCTTGGCTCTCCTCCAGCCCTCTCCTTTCCCTTATGGGAAGTGGGAGATCTTCCCCTCGTGGACCTCTTGGGCTTCTTGGCTGGGGCTGGGGAGGGGAATCGGTGCCGGCTCGTAGACGGCACCAGAGGGGCACTCCGTACCGACACTGCGTTGCTCGGAGCCGAGTTGGACCTCTGCTCCGGTGCCGGGGTCAGCGCCGACTCCATCAGGAATGCCCTGAGACGGATGTCTCTCTCATTTTTCGTTCTGGGTTTGAACGACTTACAGATGCGACACTTATCACTTATGTGTCCTTCTCCTAGACACTTTAAACAGCTAACGCGTGGGTCGCTGATGGGTATAGGCCGCTTACAACGATCACATGGTTTAAAGCCTGGGGATCGGGGTATGCCCCGTCCCTAGGCTGAGTCCCATCTGGGACCAACTAACTAGAACTAATACTAAGGGTAAATACTAAACTATATACAACTATTTTACAAAGAAACATTTGTGAGACGCACTGAACTAAGCGAAAGCTAGCTGAAGCAGCAGAAGTTCCAGCACCGTCACTGACGGCAAGAAGGAACTGAGGGTGGGGAGAGCCGGCCGCACCCCTTATATCGCGCCATGCGGGTGCCACTCCAGAGGTCTCCAGAGTCGGTCCCCTATGGATACTGCTAAGGGGAAAAACTTCCGGTAACAGTGCATGTAGTGAGCACACACACCTAATATGGAATGGACATGAGCAAGTACTCGAAGAACAGTAACTTCTGCATACACGGATTTCACCTAAGGGCTTCAGTTGCCATGACAATGTAAAGCAGCCGCTCTCATGTCATTTTTGATTGGATCACTCTGGAATTCAAAGATACTTCAGAATGTGATTACCAGAACTGCACCATGAAGCCTTTCAACAGAGTCAATGCAACCGCTGCTCTGGAAAGGCCAGGTAAATCTTCCTTGGCAGCTCAGGGCAAAGGACTGGTGTCAGAACAAAAGGATCTTGAGTGCTGATGTGGTTGGCAACACCTAGCAACAACTGATGCATTGTAAAACAGTACAATGTTCACTGCTGCTCTCTGCGCTCCCTCCCATTCACTTGTACTCACTGGTTGTCTAGCCATATGCTATCATACACTTGTTAGGCTCCTATGGAGCAAACAGTTAAGCATGTGCTTAACTTTACACACACAAGCTGTCCCACTGAAGTCAACAGGACTAGTCACATACACAGAGTTCAGAGAGGCTTAGCTGCTTGCAGGACCAGAGCCTGCGATTGTAAGATCATGCCTTCATTCTGTGTGTGTACAGTGTCGAACATAATGAGACCTAAATCCCCGATTGTGGCCTCTAGACCCTACCATAATGCAAATTAACCCATGCTTACACAGCATGGCTTGTCCGCTTCTAGTGACTGAATCCAAGAGGTTCATAAGTCCATACAGCCTTTTTGCTAACAGACTGGGATCTTTTAGCTCAGGCAATAGAGGTTCATGCTTTTAGAGCCAGAGCTCCTGGGTTTGACCCCTGCTGCCAAAGACCACCCCCAAGACTGATGTATTACCCAAATAATAAAAACAAAAATGAGAGAGAGAGAGAGAGAGAGAGAGAGAGAGTGTCGGGCAGATCACCCTATTCCTACTTTGTGAAAGAAGAACATAGAGCAAGCCTCCTGGCTCTGACCTGTGCCAGAAAGCAGACACATTACACGTACCAGACAGGAGTTAACTACCTTAGCCCTACACTTCAGGGAGCTCTCAGACTTTCAGAGCAAAAAGATGAAACTGCACCGAGCCCCATCCCAGCTTAGTATCTAGTCAGTCATCAGTCTCGCTGGCTGCTCAATGGGAGAGAGAGGGGGGGAAAAAGACTATGCCTCAAGGAACAAGCAAGTCTAAACCATTTTCATGCCACAGCGTAAGCAAGGGGTTCTGCCTGTTATTTTTAGATGTGATTTAACATGATCTGGGAGGGGGAGAAGGAAGCAGGATTTGGCTGCCTCTGTGGTACATGACAAGGCATGAAAAGCTGCCAGTGAGCCACACCCTCCCAATCCCCACACCCCATTTAGTCATCTGCAGCATTACATAACAAGAGTAACCAATTCTGGACACACCCATCCCAGAGAGGAATCTCCCTAGGCCTGTATATTCATTCCCTCAGAGCATGCCAGAGCTCCATTTCTATACAGCACATAGGTGTGCGCGCATAGACGCACATGTGTGTTCATGCCACCCCATCTAAACACAAAGCCATTTCTGTCAAGCTGGCATCCCCAAAGGGGGAACATTCCAATCACTGCAGTTCTTGGACTAGGAGAGAGTTTGGATCAAAATGTGCCAGAGCTCTTTGTACAGCAGTGAGCCATGTACTGGAGGTGCTGTGGACGGATAGCTCAGTGGTTTGAGCACTGGCCTGCTAAACCCAGGGTTGTGAGTTCAATCCTTGAGGGGGCCATTTAGGGAACTGGGGTAAAAATCTGTCTGGGGATTGGTCCTGCTTTGAGCAGGGGGTTGGACTAGATGACCTCCTGAGGTCCCGTCCAACCCTGATATTCTATGATTATGGAGGGCAAACACAGCAGCCATTCTGCATTCCCCAATAGCTCATACACAACCTAAGACATTAGAGCCTGTTTTAATGAAAGGGGCTGTTGGCCACAACACAGGCCTATTTTCTGCTATTCAAGAGGTGACGCCTGGAATGTCGTTCTAGACAAGGGTATATGGGCGCTTGATTTAATACTTCTATTGGTCTAACTGTGCAGCCTCTCCTCCTAGTACTATACTGCAGCACCAGGGAGCTGAGCTCACGTCCTGATTTGAAACCACAGTAACTGCAGAGCCATTCAGATGTGGGCTTTCATGAGTGCTTTGCATATGGGGCTTGCCAGCTGCTCCCAAACCACCCTACACCCACAACAGGTGTCATTCACACTCACCTTGTTGATGCTGAAGTGGCCCTCAAACCTGCAGCCATCCCCATTATTGAGAGGTACTTTCATTGAGTTGTCAATATGGCCAACTTCGTGCCTTCCCATTTCATCCTGAATGTCCAGTCCAACCACTACCCGGTTGGGAGGGGGGAAAAGGAAAGATAAAACACAAAAAAAGTTACGAATAGGAACAGGTGTGCACAATTCTTTGTGGGGCACAAACAACTTTTTCCTGGCATTTGACAGAATCGTTCAAGTAAATTCACCTGTTAAAATAAACATCATTGCTACCCATCAGCAGTGATGGAATAATTACCAGAGCTTTTCAGCTTCAGAATATTTTATGATTAATAATTTAGGACATTACACCCTTGGGAGATAGGCCTAATTCCCATTTTTCAGATTGAGAAAGTGAGGCAGAGAAGTTTGGCAAATCACCTAAGGCCAAATGTGACATCTGAGTCAGACAGCTGTGATTAGAACTCAAAGGTGTCTTACTCCCAGACACAAAAGAGCAGACAGTGAAAGAGGAAACCAGATTTAGTCAGATCTCACTAAGGGAGGTGGGTCACTAGTCAGAACTGAAGGAGGGCAGAGTCATATTCCATTGCTAGGTAGGATCGCAAGAAAAATGACTTGGCTTAGAATGTGAAGTACTAGGGTATTTACAGAGACTCAGCCACTCCAGAAATCTGACCTCCCTCTCACACCTGGATTGTATAAACATGGGCCCCTGGATTGTGTAAACATGGGTACAACTGATTCCCTATAGAGAGGACAACACACTATAGAAAAGCCTCTCTCTAATGCCTCTTTCTACAGTCATACTACCCAGAAAGGGAAGAACAAATACACTGGACAAGGTAGAGTTTTTATTTCTTCCCTAGGAGAAAAGGGCAACAACATTTCACCAAAATACAGGGTGGGGATTGCTCTCCGATCTCACGTTAAATGAGTAAACTTAGAGCTTTGAGTAGCCACCTCTAGAAATACAGCAAGAAATCTAGGCCTGAACGGAGACACTTACATTCACAGTGCAGGTTCGGTAAGCTGATGTTCAGATTCACTTCTATTTTACCTCCGCTCTCTTTGTCCGGGTCGTCTACGTAGAGCTCGTTAACTCTGCAGGGAGATGAGCACAGATGATTTCACTTTGTAACTCACACACACAGCTACTGTTCAGTAGGGGAATTTGCACAGGGAGGGAAAGTTAGGGTTAGTTTGTGTGACAGGTGCTAAAAAGGCTCAGAAATTAAGTGAGAAGAAAGCCTTTCCAGAGGAGATATGAAATCGGATGGGTATAGACACTAGCAACCTGACTCTATAACTTGCGCATAGCAATTGCAGGACAGAGGGGCTTTCCCCACACCTCACTCACTCCAGTAGGAAACAAAGTCAACTCACTTTCTCTAATTAAAAAAAAAAAAAGTTATAGACTTCCCCCAAAAGGGGTTTCCACTGGTGACATGAAACAAGACTGCTCTTTCTAGAGGTGAAAGGCACTAGTCCTCTGCATTATGGGGCTCCTACCCCCCTTAGGAAAAAGGAAGCCTATAATCTGAAATATACAAAGTTGTAGCCATGTCTGTCCCAGGATATGTTGGATGTAAGATGTTCTGAAAAAGAGCTGTGTGGGGCTCAAAAGCTTGTCTCTCTCACCAACAGAAGTTAGTCCAATAAAAGATATTATTGGAGAGTCAAGGAGGTGAGGTAATATCTTTTATTAGACCAACATTTGGTTGGTCCTATCCATATCACACAGCACGTCAGGCAACTGGGAGTCTTCTTCAGTTAGGAACTTTGTGATTAACTGTACTGCCATCTGCAATGTCTTCACGACAGTTATCAGAGCATAGGAGAGCAGTGCGGGATCCATCCCTTCACACAGAGATGGCGGGGTGAACAGTAAATAAAGGCTGTTGAAAAATGCCACGAAAGAAAGCCAGAAGCCCATGGAATGCTGGGACAGAAAACAATGCATCATGGGACATTAAGCCCAGTCCCTAGATGCACCGCGATCCACTCCGCTTTCCCACAAGACCTAGTGGCAGAAGGTGTCGAGTTGGACTGTGGGAAAGGTACCCACAGTGCATTGCTCACACTGTCAATGATAGTGCCCCAACTGTGGATGCACTCTGCCTACAGAGGGAGTGAGTGTGAACATGCAATACCGATTATTATAGCGCTTTTTGAGTGTCGACATAATATTTGTTGACAAAACTATGTAGTGTAGACAAGGCCTTAGTCTTCACAGCAAAATGCAAGGTGTAACAGATTGTTTAGCATAAGTAGTTAGCACATATTGTAAGAGACCATTCAAGGTAGAGTGGTCTGTTAACACCTCTGCAGTCAATAAAAGATATTACCTCACCTACCTTGTCTCTCAAATAACCTGGGACTGACATAGCTACAACATATAATCTGATACATCAGAAATGGTTTTAGAGAAAGGAGACTGCCACCTATCCCATAAGGGTACGTCTACACTACCCATGTTACAGCGTGGCCGCGGAAGCACTGTGACGTGGGCAGTGTAGTCACGCTTTATCACCGGGGGAGAGCTCTCCCGGCAATAAAAAAAAAAACCACCCCGAACGAGCGGTGGCAGCTTTATTGCCAGCACCACAGCTCCCGGCGATAAAGCGCTGTCTATACTGGCGCTTTTCAGCACTAAAACTTTTAACGCTCAGGGGGTGTGTTTTTTCACACCCCTGAATAACTAATGTTTTAGCGCTGAAAGTGGCAGTGTAGAGACAGCTTTAGAAAGGCCCATTTGTGCAGCTGATCACAATCAATTTTTGCCACCCACATTGGGTGGCAGAAGCAGGGGCAGTTTGTGAGATGGCACATTTAGGATTAGTCTCCTCACCTGTGATTAACCCTGTCTGAGCTCCTTGCTGGAGGGGACAGGTGTTTTAGGTTTCTCCGATTCATATGATTCCTAACTTTCGACCCTTCCTTTTTGGCTGGTGTGCCCCTCTCCCAGCCCTCTAATTACATCTCCTTCCCCTGGTGACTCACTTGGAACTCTGCATAGAACTTCAAAACAATGGCATGAAATTGAGATGAAGAGCATTTAGGCTAGAAAATATCAGGGGAAAGATTCTTGGATAGCGAGATCCAATAAACTCTGGAACAGTTTTCTGTGTGTGGTGGTAGTATATTATAGCACCAGGCACCTCACATGTAAGGTGAGGAAACACAGACTCAGACTGGGAGAAGGAATACAAGAAAACAATGGAACATTTAGGGTTGGCACAAATCTTGTTAGTTCCACCATTTATGCTTATTTTGAACACTTAAAATATGGTAAATACACTGCAGACACAGTTGGAAGCCCATTTGCTTGGGAGATTTAAAAACTAGTCCAGATAAAGCTCTGGAGAAAATATTGTAGGGGAAATCCTGCACTGGACCAAAGAGATGGATAAGATTACCTAGGACTGTGGTCCCCAACGCGGTGCCCGTGGGCATCTATGTATGCCTGCCTACTGCGCCCTGACGCCGAGGAGCGCAGCCGCCGGACAAGCAGCCGCCGAAAAGTGGCAACGTCAAGAAGCGTCGCCGCCGAAATGCTGCTGCTTCTCGGCGGCGACGCCTCTTGATGACGCTGCTTCTCGGTGGCATTTCGGCAGTGACGCTTCTTGGTGTTGCCACTTGTCGGCGGCATTTCGGCGGCTGCTTGTCCGGCGGCTGCGCTCCTCGGCGGCATTTTGGTGGCTAGTCGTCCGGTGCCCGCCCACACTGAAAGGTTGGGAACCACTGACCTAGAAGATCTTTTCGATCTCTGTCCTATCCAGCCAGACCAGATAAGCACATTAGTGGCTGTATCTGCCAATATGTAATATATATGATATAATAGTCTACTTTTTGCAGATATGCTTTACTATCTTCAGCAGTGAGAACGCCACATTGTTTTTCATCTAGTGCTCAAAAGTGTGCTAAGCCCTTTTGACAAACAAAACGAAAAAAGGTCCCAGGCCAGAGGAGCTAACAGACAGTACAGACGAAGGGTGCTAAAAGATGAGTCAAAGTGCTTTTGCTCTGAGGGCCCATCTCTGGACCATGAGCTTCTAGCTGGTGAATGGCATGACATTTATCCAGTAGGGAGTGCAGAGAGAGATGGGTTTGCCTACAGGGAAACAGGTAACAAGTTTGGTTGAGAAGATAATGATCACCAGATCAGTGAATGTGATTGGTGTTTGATTGAAACCAAAACAGTGTTGGTGTTCAGCTCCACATTGCTACCATCTCCTCTCTGTTAACTGGCCTGACAAGCTGTTGGTAATAGTTACCTCACATATATTTCACGTGATTAATAAAAATGACACAGAGGGAAGGGCAAGTTTGCTCATTTGTGACCTGCTTAGGAGCTTCTTGGCTGGGAGCTCCCCTTCCTGACAGAAGGTATTTATTATTGAGAGATTATGTAGTGCCAAAAATTAAGTCATACCTGCGACACGGCTTCCAGGAGTGACCTCAGCCAAAAGAGGCATTAATCCTAACAGAAATGTTGCAGCTTTCTACACCCCATAAGTACTTCCAGCAGGATCCCAGTCTACCAGTCAGTCAGTCTGTTTCATAATAGTGTCCGGCTTTCTCCCAACTCTTCTCTGCTGTCTGAGATTTGGGCCACACCCCGTCACTGCTTTGGACAGTTTAACGTTACCAATGAAAAGACGCTTCCATGCCCGAGCTAGAAATGGAATGTGTATCAGGTTCAAAAATTCATTGATCACTTCAAAGAGCTGTGGTATACTCCAAGGACATCAATATTTTTAATTTTTATTGGGCATTTTCAGGTTATGACCCAGCAAGGAAGTCAAACGCAGCTTCATACATGATTAACCCTTAATTCTCTCCAAGGTAAGTTATAATAGGGTACTGGAATAGTTCACATGATATAATTTGTGCTTACATAATGCTTTTTCATTGTAGCTCTCAAAGCTCTTTACAAAGGGAAGTAAGCAGTAGAATCACTCCCATTTTACAAATGGGATACCTGGGGCAGAGAAGTATGGCAATTTGCCCAAGGGTGCAAAGCCAGTGACAGAGTCAGGAACAGAATCTAGGACTCCTCACTCCCCATCCCATGCTCCATCCACCAGGTCACAGCTGCACACCTAATAATGAGCTATGGGCTTAGCTTGCTAGGGGAAGGCCTCAAAGAAAATGTCATCCCCCTTCACTGAGCTGGAAGTTTCACTCCCAGAAGACAAACTGGAAACATGCAGCTAAAGCAGAGCTCCCGTGTCAAGGTCACTCCTTCTATGAACTCCCCCTGAGCCACTACTAGGGTCTTCATGGAACTGGCAGATTTCTGTATTATGCCCCTTTATTTAAGGCACTTGCTGTCCAGCTGCCATCCCTCCCCCTAAGGCCAAGAAGGGGAATTAAGAGTCTCATGGGTTTTTTCCCATTATTTAAGCAGTCAACACTGATGTGAAGTGGGAAATAATATGTGCAGTTTGTGACACAGTGGCTAGCAGCCCTTGCTGGAGGGCTAGAGACTCCAGCAAAAGAAAAGGAGTCGGCCCAAGGTATTATGCCACCGTGCATACAGCTACCCTTCTGGAGGGCAGGCAATGGGAATGTGAGATTCCTGCACCACGGCTTGGCTCAGACAGTCACAGAAACAATACAATCGCGAAGCTGGGCAGGGGGAGTATTGCAGATATGGATTCTAAAGAGGTGGCTGCCTTTTAGGGCTGCATTGTAGCCTCAAAGGATGGTTCGAGTCCCTCCCAAAACCAGAGGAGCAGCAGGCAAGCACTGCTGCTTCACAGCTGCTTCTGGTGGCAGGGCAGGGGTTGTGTTTTTTTATTGGCTTTGCTTAGGGACTACTCCTGAGGTGTATGAAAGGGGCAAGTGAGGGCACAAGGGCAGGCGGGGGGAAGACACACCGCTCCCACCCCAAGTGCTCGCAGTCACGATTTCAGGGGAAAGAGTGAGAGAGCTTCCTTACACGGCATAAACCGTAACCCCAGTCAGAAACAATTTGATTTGCTTCTAGAAATACTTCAGATTCCTAGGAGATGTTGCTGGGCTCCTCACTCCCTCATGCCGTTTGCTTACAAACTTGCACCGGAAGGTTTCAGGGATTCTTTGGCAAGCCTGCAGAC